TACAAAATTAGCTAGACATGGTGGCACATACCTGTAATCCCAGCTACTCAGGAGGCTGAGGCAAGAGACTTGCTTGAACCCAGGAGGCAGAGGTTGCAGTGAGCCAAGATTACACCATTGCCCTTTAGCCTGGGCAACAAGAGCAAAACTCCGTCTCAAAAAAAAAAAAAAGAAAAAACAGATGAGCCAGGTGCCGTAGCTCACATCTGTAATCCCAGCACTTTGGGAAGCCGAGCAGGGAGGATCGCTTGAGCTTAGGAGTCTTTGAGACAAGCCTGGGCAACATGGCAAAAACCCATCTCTACAAAAAACACAAAAATTAGCCAGGCATACTGGTGTGCAACTTTAGTCCCAGCTACTCAGGAGGCTGAGGTGGGAGGATGGTTTGAGCCTGAAAGGGGGAGGTTGCAGTCAGCTGCAATCATGCCACTGTACTCCAGCCTGGACAACAGAGCCAGACCCTGTCTCAAAAAAAAAAAAAGATTGATGATGTTGTCATTTTGCATAATCTTCTGAAAGATCACATCTTGCTGAGGAAACTCCCATGCTGTGTTTTGCCATCAAATAAGGAATAGATGTCAGCTTAAGTCACCACCACAGAAGAACTTATTCACAAAGGCCGGAGCACCAGAGGCCAAGCCCAGCTGGCATGGATGGCACTCTGAGAGCTGGGCCATCCCTGCCAGTCTGTGTGGGTTTATCCCAGGTGCTTTACGAAAGCCTCACAAACATGCACCCTGCTTGAGATACAAGTGGAGAAAAACCCTCCATGGGAGGCTTCTTCCTGCCACTCAGCCCTGGCTGGCCTCGAGGGGGTTGCTCAGACTCTGCCCCTCTTCACCAGGGCTGCTGCCCTGCCCAGAGACACACTTCCTGGTTCTATTGCAAGCATTCCATAGCACCTCACTGGTCAACAGAACGCAGCAGAAAATGAGACCCCCGTGGAATTTTAGGGACCAGTTAGGTGGGTTATATTTTGGGATGTCAGCTCCATTTGAGAAGCCACTGTAAGCTAAGGGGCATTCTTCCCAGTTAAACACACCCACACATATAACATGCATGAGATTTCAAAGACTTCACCAAAGCTCTCCAAAGGCCTGTCCCTATCAGCTACTGCAGAAAACAGAAACAAAAATAACCTGTAATCATGCCCGGAGACACCACTCTTATCGACATTTTGGTGAATGCCCCTCAGATTTTTTTCTTTGCATATAAACGCATCAGCATTGGTATCACTTTCGAGAAAAAGGGAACTATACCATAGATCAAATCTTGCAACCTGCTATTTTCACTCAGCAATGGCTCACTGCTGAAGAAGGGCCTGAGAAAATCTGCCCTGACCAGACCTAAGAAGGCCACTGGGATCGGTGAATCGTGTCCCCAAAAATAGACACTCTGGAGTCCTAACCTCAGAAGCTCAGAAGTTGACTTTATTTGGAGACAGGGTCTTGACGGAGGCAATGATGTTACAATGAGGTCATTATGGTGGCCTTGATGCAGGATGACTGGCGTCCCTATAAAAATGGGAATTTTTTTTTTTTCCCAGGCGGAGTGGCTGACATCTGTAATCCCAACACCTTGGGAGGCTAAGGTGGGCGGATCTTGAGGTCAAGAGATCGAGACCATTCTAGCCAATATGGTGAAACCCCATTTCTACTAAAAATACAAAAACTAGCTGGGTGTGGTGGCACGTGCCTGTAGTCCCCAGCTACTCGGGAGGCTGGGGCAGGAGAATCGCTGGCACTTGGGAGGTGGAGATTACAGTGAGCAAGATCACATCATTGCACTCCAGCCTGGGCGATAGAGTGAGACTCCGTCTCAAAAAAAAAAAAAAAAAAGGAGGGGGGGATTTGGACTGGGGGCACAACACCACGTGAAGACGAAGGCAGAGACCCGTGATGCACCTGCCAACCTGGACCACCAAAGATGGCCAGCACCACCCAGAGCTGGGGAGAGACACAGAATCTTCTACCACATGGATCCAGAAGGAGCCATCCTGCCACACCTTGATCTCAGACTTCCAGCCTGGACCACCAAAGATCCCCACTACCACCCAGAGCCGTGGCTAGGGGTGGAGAGACACCTAACTTTCTTCCACACGGACCCAGAAGAAGCCGTTCCCCTACACCTTGATCTCGGACTTCCAGCCTCCAGAACTGTGGGAGGAGACGTTTCTGTTGTTTAAGACGCCCGGTGTGTGGTACAGTCACCCCCTGGTATCCATGGGGGATGGTTCTAGAATCTCTAAGGGTACCAGAACCCGTGGATGCTAATGTCCCTGATATAAAATGGTGTCATATTTGCATGTAACCTACACACGTCCTCCCACATACTTCTTTTAAAAATTTATTTATTTTTGAGACAGAGTCTCACTCTGTCGCCCTGACTGGAGTACAGTTTCGCAATTGGCTCACTGCAACCTCCGCCTCCCTAGTTCAAACAATTCTCCTGCCTCAGCCTCCCGAGCAGCTGGGATTACAGATGCATGCCACCACTCCCAGCTAATTTTTGTATTTTTAGTAGAGAGATGGGGTTTCGCCACCTTGGCCAGTCTGGTCTCCAACTCCTGGGCTCAAAGGATCCACCCACCTGGGCTTCCCAAAGTGCTGGGATTAATGGCGGGAGCCACTGCACTCAACCCCAGGTTTTTTGTTTGTTTTTGAGACAGTCTCACTCTGTTGCCCAGGCTGGAGTGTAGCAGCACGATCTCAGCTCACAGTAACCTTCGCCTCCCAGGTTCAAGTGATTCTTCTGCCTCAGCCTCCTGAGTAACTGGGATTACAGGCAACCACCACTACACCTGGCTAATTTTTGTATTTTTAGTGGATTACAGGCGTGAGCCACCATGCCCATTGGCCCCAATATTTAATACAAAAAAAAAAGGAAACAATTGTCCACTCACTCACGGGGAAAAGGTTGAAAACCCTTAGTATATCTTTTCCGCAGAACATTATTCAGTCACTTAAAGTGAGATCTTTAAAGAGTGTATAAAAAAACGAAAAACACAAAATACAAATTGCATCTATAAGGTGACTGCAACAAGGACTTATGCATGTGTGTACGCATGCATATATGTGCATGTATGTATGTACGTATTTCTGAGACAGGGTTTTGCTCTGTCGTCCAGGCTGGAACACAGTGGTGTGATGATGGCTCACCACAGCCGCAAACTCCTGAGATCAAGTGATTCTCCCACCTCAGCCTCCAGGTAACTGGGATCACAGGCAGTTAGCACAACATCCAGCTAATTTTAAAAATATTTTTGAGAGACAAGTTTGAATTCTTGACCTCAGCAATCTTCCCGCCTTGACCTCCCAAATGCTGGAATTACAGGTATAAGCCGCCATATCTGGCCTACAGCTACGTTTTTATAAAAACAACATTTGGGCCGGGCGCGGTGGCTCAAGCCTGTAATCCCAGCACTTTGGGAGGCCGAGGCGGGTGGATCACGAGGTCAAGAGATCGAGACCATCCTGGTCAACATGGTGAAACCC